CTTGAGCCACAGGCGCCGAGCCAAGAATAGAGTTTTTAAAGGAGGAGAAGGAGCTTTAATTAATTGGTAGTATAGATCAACCAGATCTAACCAGGAGTTAGGTCCACTAACTCCTAGTACGCATTAAACTTCTGTACCTACCTTTGAGTTTTATGGCCATAGTAAACTTCTATGACCTAACTGTCTTGTACAACTATCCAGTCATCCCTTTTATGACCTGTAGCATGAATTTTTGAAATGACATGGTGGGGTTATGAAGTAAATATAGTTTTGCATTTATATGAAGTTCAAATGAATATCAGTGATTTAACCCTGTTAGATTCTATTTTAACCAAGTATGTTACATTAAAACAGCCCAGTCTGTAATAAAAGCAATTTAAGTATTTTTTTTTTCCCATTTAAGGGATTACATTTTGAAGATATACCTTGGCAAAGTTTTTTGATTTTACTATCAAAAAATTAGGTAGATGATTTATTTACCTGAGTAACTTGGTACTCACATCTGATTCCTTAATATATAAACCTAGTGAAGAACCACAGAAACTGCCTGCTTTTCAAAGCCAGTGCATACTGACAGTTCTGAGATGTTTAAACATAAAATGTGTGTTAATATTTCATGTAAGTGGCTTGGTGCCTGCAGCACAGTGGTTATATCGCCGGCCAAATGCACCAAGGCTGGCGGGTTCAAACCCAGCCCAGGCCAGCTAAACAACGACAACTGCAGCAAAAAAATAGCCAGGCGTTGTGGTGGGCACCTGTAGTCCTAGCTACTTGAGAGGCTGATGCAAGAGAATTGCTTAAGTCCAAGAGGTTGAGGTTGCTGTGAGCTGTGATGCCACAACACTCTACCAGGGGTGACACAATGAGACTCTGTCTCAAAAAAAAAAAAAAAAAATTTATTTTTTTTTCATGTAAGTTAAGTAAATTAATGATCAGGCTCCTTTCATAGGTTGATCACCCAAACAGGTTAGAGGAGGAGTAGAACAAAATGATCAGACAGTAAAATACTATAAGCATTAAGGGAAAGTAATTTTTAAAAAATAACTTAGAGTCTTTTTCAAAATAGGTTATGATTAACCTACTTACATAAAATTCATAATTCTGCATCAGTACTTAGAAAACACTGATGGACTGAAATTATGGGTAAAGTGGTGGCTGGTTGTTTTTATGGGAATTCTTCGTATGTCCGCTTAGTGAATTTTTCTGGTTGAGATGTTCTACTTGTTAATTATAAAATTAGCCCACAAGCTTCTGTTTCAGTGAGTAATTTTAGACTATCCATATTTTAATTGTGTATTTGATTTGCATTTGTATGTCTAGCAGTATCCCTTTAATGTCCTCAAAATAATTTGTTTATAATTTGCTTATAAGAAAAAAAATTCATTGAAGTACCTAACATATTTTTTCCTCATGATTTTTAGCATTCAAAATTTTTTGTATAATCATAACAGGAGTATAATTAATTGTGAGATCTAATCAGGTTACTGAGAACCCATGTATTCAACTTTTCAACTTGCAAAATGGATATGATTAATGAGCATACAATTATTAGATTAAATGATGTTCAGCCAAAATGAACTATAATAGTTCCAGTTTACCTTAAGTTTTTCTAAAACAACAGATAAGTTGTAGTGTTACATTGTCTAGCTTCCTAAAATATGGCCTGCAACAGCAGGCTCCAGTGGAACACAACCTAAATTTTTTTTTTTTTTTTTTTTGTTTTGTTTTGAGATAGAGCCTCAAGCTATTCCTGGGTAGAATGCCGTTAACATCACAGCTCACAGCCACCTCCAACTCCTGGGCTTAAGCAATTCTCTTGCCTCAGCCTCCCAAGTAGCTGAGACTACAGGCGCCCGCCACAACACCCAGCTATTTTTTGGTTGTAGTTGTCATTGTTGTTTGGCAGGCCCAGGCTGGATTCAAACCCGCCAGCTCTGGTATATCTGGCTGTTACCTTAGCCACTTGAGCTGCAGGCACCAACCCACAATTTAAATTTCATCTAGCAATAAGCCTTCAGCTTCCAGCTTTACATTTCTAATATAATTCATGTTGTCCCTGAAGCTTTTATTGAGAACAATAATATATATTTAATTGAATGGCCCTTATTATTTTCTGTAAAATGCTCATTTTCAGAATCATAATCATGAAATAATAAAGATTTTTGATAACTTGTTTGTCTTTTTCCTTTAAAAGTTATTTTGCATTCTCCCCAACATAAGAATTCATTCTTTTATTTTTTCTAATGGATTTTTCCTTTTTATTCTTTATACTGAACTTGTTTAAATTTTTTTTTCTTTTGAGACAAAAAAAAAGTCTCACTTTGTCACCCTTGGTAGAGTGCTGTGGTGTCACAGCTCACAGCAACCTCCAGCTCTTGGGCTTAGGCCATTCTCTTGCCTCAGCCTCCCAAGTAGCTGGGACCGGAGGCATCCACCACAACACCCAGCTATTTTCAACTTGTTTATTTTTTATCTTCATTATTTTTATGTTTATTCGTTCATATTAGAAAAATAGAAATACAATATCTGACAAAAGTTTCTACAATTTTTTTTCCTTTTTTTTTTTTTCGTTGAGACAGAGTCTCTTTGTCACCCACCACAATGCCCAGCTATTTTTTGGTTGTAGTTGTCATTGTTGTTTAGCAGGCCTGGGCCAGGTGCAAACCCGCCAGCCTCAGTGTATGTGGCTAGTGCCCTACTCACTGAGCTATGGGTGCTGAGCCTATAATATTTTTCTAATTAAATAATCTATTTTGGCATAAGCCAGGCATGGTGGCTCATGCCTATAATCCTGTCAACTTAGGAGACTGAAGTAGGAGGATAGCTTGAGCTCAGGAGTTCGAGACCAGCCTGAGCAAGAGCAAGACTTTGTCCCTACTAAAAATAGAAGGAAAAAAAAAAGAAACTAGTCCGGCATTGTAGGGTGTTGTGGTAGGTGCCTGTAGTCCCAGTTACTCAAGAGACTAAGGCAAGAGGATCACTTGAGCCCAAGAGTTTGAGGTTGCTATGAGCTATGATGCTACAATACTGTAGTCAGGGCGAGACAGTGAAACTCTGTCTCAGAAATAGATGGATGGGTAGATAGATAAAGCGTATTTGCAGTCATTTGAAATTGGTTCATCTGTGCATTGCTAAAGGTACTCTCAGTTAATATTAAGCAACATTGCTTTATGAATATGGGATCTTATCTATGTTTATACTGCAATTTAGAAATGCTACCTACTGTCAAGACATTAGTCCTGCCTTCCCCAAAAAGTGTATCAGTTGATAGCAACTAAAATGTCCATCAGTGAGGTGATGATGGTTAAACAAATTATGGTTTATATTAATAGAATCAAGGGCATACAAATGTAGTCATTGATAGTATTATAAAGACTGTATAGGCTCGGTGCCTATAGCTCAACCGGCTAGGGCGCCAGCCACGTACACGTAAGGTGGCGGGTTCGAATCCCCAGCCCGAACCCGGCTGCAACCAAAAAAATAGCCGGGCGTTGTGGCGGGCGCCTGTCGTCCCAGCTACTTGGGAGGCGGAGGCAGGAGACTTGCTTGAGCCCAGGAGTTGGAGGTTGCTGTGAGCTATAATGCCACGGCACTCTGCCCAGAGGGACAGCTTGAGGCTCTGTCTCCAAAAAAAAAAAGACTGTATAAAATCATGAAAGGTGAAGGGACAGAATAAAAAAGTACACTATAAGTACATTTACTCAAGATATATGTGCATATGGACAAAGTCTAAAGACTATGCAAATATAAAAGTAGTTGTATTTTAAAGTATAGTTTTTTTCCCTCAAGCTCCCTTCATTGTTTTATTAATAATGAAAGAGATTTTTTTTAATGTATTAGGCTTATAGGTAGCTAGAACTATGCTAAAGTCTAAACAAAAATAATCATGTAAATCTCTTTATAGTTATTGAGTATCTTTACCCTTTCCTTCAGAACATTATCAGGATCACTGAGTTAACCCGGGTGCGTGGGTGCTTTTGGGTTTTAACAGGTACCAGTCAGTGGCCCAGACCTGGAGGGCAAGCGCCTTCATCCCCAAGCTATGAAAACTCACTTCACTCCCTGGTAAGAGCCTCTTATCTGATACCTTGGAGTCTGTTTTGTTTTTCTTTTTCTTTTTCATTTTTCCTATTGTTGTTGTTGTTTAATAAATCTTGTGTAACTATGAAGAAGCAGTAGGATAGCATTACACACGAATTCTTTGCTAACAAATGGTCTGATTTAGTTGAACAGTGTAAGACACATTGAATGTCTTTTGCCATCTGTGCTTTAGGGCATCAGGCTTCTGGTGTCGGGACAGCTGGTGTTAAAATAATAGTGTGATGGGATTTTTGTTTCTTTAACAAATCTAGAGCTTAATTTTCTATACTTTTTACATAAAAGAGAAAACTTTTTAAAAAAATAAAGTAAAAGCAAAGAAGATGGTTATGTTCATTCTTTTTTATATGATGGTGCTGTATATAATTACATTTCCATTAAAATTTTTAATGTAAATATCAGTGATTTTTGTCACAAAATTGTTATTTTGTGTGTGTTCTTATGGAAAAGAATGTTGTGCAAACCATGCAAGCAAAACATCTTTTAACAAATAAAGCAGTAAAGGAGCCTTCTAGACACTCAGCGCGTGAAGAATTTGTGGTAGAATGTTAACTACTGTTGCTTTTGTATGCTTACGTTTGTTACCCAGAATTACAAAGTAGAATAAAGGCAAAATAAGTGTGATTTGATAGAATGCTAAGTCATGCTCTCATTCAGTAAATTCAGGTTGCAAATAGAAATGTTCTTTTTCTGTGACTAACAGAACGTTTTAAATTGAAGGAAAGTTTTCCTCTCATGTATTTTGTAAGCAAATATAAGCAATGTGCTCATAACCTTGTGACTTCCCTGTTGAGTCCCAGCCTTCTCATACCTTAATACAAGTAGTTCTCTCAGGTCTCCGCGTTAACTTTACTAACATGTTATGCTGACATGCACATCAGCTATTTCCTCATCTCTTTTGGAGTTAATCTTAACCTGTGCTTTGCCTCCTGTTCTGTCTTGACTTTGCCAGAAAAATCGAGTTGAGCAGCAACTTCACGAGCATTTGCAAGATGCAATGTCCTTCTTAAAGGATGTCTGTGAGGTACTATTTCTTTTAGATGGTGCCTTTTTTGTGTTTCAATTAATTATACTTCCCATTATTCATTTAAAATCTTCGAGCTATACAGACTCCAGTTTTTTAAAATCAAACAATTTACCATTTCAGTTTTTGTAACAGTATATAGGAATAGACTTTTGTCTCTTATGTTATTGAGAATGATCCTTTTAAAACAGCTCTACTAGCATGTGCTTTTATTTTTAAAATTCTAATATGTTTGCGTATAGGGCATGTGTATGTCCACAGATAGACAATGTCAAATCTTTAATTTTGTCAGAGAATATACATGAATGTGTTTACCTTAAAACTAAATTACAACTTAAACTTGTTTGTTGGTTTTGAGGTCCCTACCCCAAATTGCCATCATTGAGAAATCAGTATTTGAAGTATAGATTATCCTTGTTTATCACCTATAATTATTGACATAGGGCCAGGCGCACAGTGGCTCAGGCCTATAATCCTAGCACTCTGGGAGGCCGAGGCAGGTGGATTGCCCAGAGCAAGCACGAGACCCCGTCTCTAAAAATAGCTGGGCATTGTGGCAGTTCCCTCAGTCCCACTTGGGAGGCTGAGGCAAGAGAATCGCTTGAGCCCAAGAATTTTGAGTTGCTGTGAGCTATAATGCTATGACACTCTACCAGGTGTGACAAAGTGAAACTCTGTCTCAAAAAAAAACAAAAAAAAAATTATTGACATAGTAGCCTTCATCTTTTCTAGAAGCAAAAAGAAACAACCTCATGGTAGATAAGTAAATTCATCTTATAAAGCAGTGATTTGTTTCTGAAGCTATAAAAATTTGGTGTAGTCTACATACAGATAGCCATTCTTTTTTTGTTGATTTGTAGTGCAGGTAGTTGCTTTTGAAGCTATTCAATACTGCATTTCACATGCTATCTTCTACATACCCAAAGTAGGAGACATAGTGACTTAATGAATTTAACAGATACCACCAGTAACCTCCATGGTTTTTTCAATCCATACAGCAGTCTCGAATGGAGGATCGTTTAGACAGACTGGATGATGCTATCCATGTGCTGCGGAACCATGCTGTGGGACCTTCCACAAGTTTACCTGCTGGTCACGGTGACATACACAGTTTATTGGGACCATCCCACAATACACCAATTGGAAGCCTCAATTCAAACTATGGAGGATCAAGCCTTGTTACAAGCAGTAGATCAGCTTCAATGGTAAAATAGTGCTCATCTTTTTTGTAGTAACCCCTAAAGCTTATATCCTACATATTTTTCATGAAGTCTTTGGGAAAGAGGATCTTTCTTTTTGAAAGGAGAGTTAAAGAGTGGCTTTATAAAAGCATTTCCTTTACTGTCTTGGGTAGGGTCTTTGGTTGAATATTGGAAAATTCAACATAGAATTTTTGATGTGTGTGGCTATAGAAGTCTACTTTCTCCCCTATAGAAAATTACCATGTTTTGAATCATTTTATCTTCTTTGGGGATTAATTTAAAATTGTTTCTTTCTTTCTTTCTTTTTTCTTTTTTTTTTGGATACAGAGCCTGAAGCTGTCATCCTGGGTAGTGCTGTGGCATCACAGCTTGCAGCAACCTCCAACTCCTCATAGTAAAGGTCATAGTAAAAGTCATTGGCCCATAAAATCCTACTATGACCATGTGCTGACTGCAGAAATTTTGTACAAAGATCATTTTAGCTTAAACTTGGATTTTTTCCAGATGTGTAATAATTGGCCCAAGGGTTTTTGCCTTGAAATAGTGAGCAGGAGGTCTGCATAGGAAAAGTCATAAAGCAAGGCTGAATCTCAAGGGTTCTGGTCTAAAAATGTTGTTTATTATGACTTGAGACCAGCCTTCAGTGGTAGAAGGAATGTGAAATTCTAATTTGTACATGTCCAAATTTAAACTTTATTCCTAAATGAAGAAAAATTGAGAGGGGCAGGTTTGAGAACAACTATGATTTAAGTAATAAAGAAAGGACACAGGGCTCAGCGCCTGTGGCTCAAGCAGCTAAGGTGCCAGCCACATACACCTGAGGTTCGAATCCAGCCAGGCCCACCAAACAACAATGAGGGCTACAGCTAAAAAATAGCCAGGCGTTGTGGTGGGTGCCTGTAGTCCCAGCTACTTGGGAGGCGGAGGCAGGAGAATCGCTTAAGCCCAGGAGTTGGAGGTTGCTGCCAGCTGTGATGCCACAGCACTCTACCCAGGTGACAGCTTGAGGCTCTGTCTCCAAAAAAAGAAAGAAAGAAAGGAAACAAATTAATCCCCAAAGAAGATAAAATGATTCAAAACATGGTAATGTTCTATAGGGGAGAAAGCACACTTCTATAGCCATACACATCAAAAATTCCATGTTGAATATCTTTTTTTTTTTTTTTATCCAAATTGTTTTTTAAAGAAATGAAGTCTTGGGCCGCACCTGTGGCTCAAAGTGGTGAAATGCCGGCCCCATGTGCCAGAGGTGGCAGGTTCAAACCCAGCCCTGGCCAAAAACTGCAAAAAAAAAAAGAAATGAAGTCTTGGGCAGCACCTGTGGCTCAGTGGATAGGACGCTGGCCCCATCTACCCAAGGTGGTGGGTTTGAACTTAGCCCCAGCCAAACTGTAACAAAAAATATCCGGGCATTGTGGCGGGTGCCTGTAGTCCGAGCTACTCGCTGGGAAGCTGGGGCGAGAGAATCGCCAAAGCCCAGGAGTTGGAGTTTGCTGTGAGCTGTGTGATGCCACAGCACTCTACTGAGAGCGATAAAGTGAGACTCTGTCTCTACAAAAAAAGAAAGAAGTCTTTAAAATAAATGACGTTCTTTTTAACTGATACCATGTGTTTGCGTGTTTATGGCATAGGGTTTAGGTATGTTGCGTGCTATGCTATCAGTTCTCCTATGAAACCGATTTCTAGCTATAAGCCATGTGATCAAGGCTAAAACTCACCTATCATCAAAATAATTAGGTCCTCAAATGCTGAAGTTTTATATTCTGTAAAATGAGATAGGTTTCAGATTTTCACATTCACTTATCATATAACCATTTATATTCACTCCAGAGCCTCCAAAGTAAATATCAAACAAGGCTGACTGGTTTCTGAGAACACTGTTTATAGAGATGTAGATAGCATTAGATGTCTGCCTGTCCTAACAACCTGTTTGTGTTTCTTTTTAATCAGAAAATCTTGAAATTCAGGTGCATTTTAAATTAGTTTTTGTTGCTATTGATAAACTAATGTGAAAACATGTATGAATTATTAAACTAATAGAAATAGGAAGGTATTGGCTCG